GAGAGGCACGGGTTGGATCCCAGCTCTGTGCGCCAGTTTCTGGTCAGAATCGGCAAGGAGGCCGGACGGTTATGCACAGCAGAATTGTAGCAGTGAGTTGCGAGTTCGAGACCGCAATAAGCTGTGAATGTTCTGCGATGTTAAGAATCGGCGACAGGCCTACGGCCTACTAAACGCTGAAACCGCTATATAAACAGCCTTGGTCCGATCACGGACAGTGATCCCTCACGAAAAGTCTGTACTCAGGCCGCAGTTCGGTTATTGAATGGGGGAATTATTCTGCACAGCCTCCCTCTCCTTTCGTTGTTGTACGTCACAATTTTGGAGATCTCACATTCAAAGTGGGGAGCCAGTCCGGTTATCATCTTCCAAGTGTACAGGAAGATATACCTAGAGCCCTCTTCTCCTCTCCAGTAAGTACAGTCCCAGGTGTTTCAGCCTTTCCCAGTAGTTCGGGTCCAGCCCCCTCATGCCGCTGATCCTGTACGTGAAGGTCCGCTGCACTTAACGAAAACTTATGGCGGGACATGAAAATTCGAGACAAAGAAAATCAGTTTATTGAAGAATGTTCGGCCACGTGCTGTTCGTTCGAGTCTTTAGATGAAAGAGTAAACGCGCCAATCCCGCCAAATTCGTTCAACGAAGTGCCTGATGATGGATGACGTCAGAGTCACGTCATCACGTCGCTGATGTATGGAATAGCAATTGGGAAAAATTAATCAATTACAGTCATATAACATAGGGAAGAGTTTCTAGCGCCAGTATGACTAGGACCCTTTTTTCAATCCATTTATCAATTCAATCAATTAAAAGTGTTGCTATCAGTTAATTCAATTATTATTAGTACGTTATCTATTATCATTTGCTTTAATGTAACTAAATAAGGCACATCGTCTTTATTATAAGAACAGGCCGTGAAGCGGCTTAGGATCTTCACAAAACACCTTCCGACACAGAAATGCACGTACTTTCCTCCGGACTTACGGTGTATGGATTGAGGATCGGCCTGGCTTAGGATGGGTCACACCGTCACATGGAGTGGGTGGAAGTCGACGGTCCACAGGGCGGCTGGCGTAGTGAGCTTTAAGTCTCCATCAGTGCTCCACAGATGAGGCTACAGCAAACCGGTAGGGTGGGATCCATGAAGTTTGGTTCTGTCAAATGCCCGAATGAATCCCGCGGGAGCACTGTAGTATCCAGAGAAGCTGACGAGGTGTGTCTTGCAAGTTTTGTCTTCAATTCCCCCGTAGGCGCTCCGTTTTCTTAATAGATTTATTAGAAGCTCGGAAAGAGAACACGCACATGGCTATGTCAGGAAAGTGTTTTGTTTATCGGATGCAAATTAAATTTTACTAAAGCTAAGTTAGATTATTAAGTGAAAATTATTTTACGGCAAGTTTTTCTATGATCAAAAGTTTCCCTCAAATATAAGGATATTTGATAACATAGACTTTATCATTATCGGCGAATACATGACGCGAAGAATGTCGAACTGATGAGTAGCGACAAATAAATATAAATATTCTTAATGGAGATATAATACTTCAAAAGAAAATTTGTAATGAAATGTTTATACAACCTAAATCTTCGTCTATTGCCGGTAGCTCACATTACCAGGTACCTGGTACTCACAGTACCAGGTACGAATAGCACCGAAGAAGGTAAAGGTATGGCTTGGGTAATGTAATGTAGAAACACGCAGCTATACTATTTGAAAAGATCGCTCCTGAGATTAATAACTTTCAGTGACTCCAAAATAATGATTGTTTCTTAATAATTTGGGTGTAGAAATACAGTTTCGAATGCTGGAAACTGTAAGTCAAAAGTTAAATTAGACTGCACTCGTGATGAGATTCTAGCTAAGAGATTTTAAAAGATAAGATGGTTTCAAACAATGTGGATGTTATAAAATAGTTAAAAAATATTATTATGAAGTCTCAAATTATATACTAGTGAACTATTATAAATAAACATTAGAAATAGTTTCCGCAATTTTTCATTTAATAAAATAAATAGAAGAAATACTGATAATAATGGGCATAATATGCCTAATGAAACGATGACATACTTCGATCAAGAGGATAAGGATTAACATCTTCCCTTTCTTCGTGTTTGAACCTCTGATGTTATTGCCGAGGCCGGGATGTGACGTTGCCAGGTTTTTGCAGCGCCGCTATACGAGACCAACTCCATCAGAGGAGGTCGAATGCCTGGCCAGAGCCAAGGTTTAACCACCCACAAGTGTTGTGGACATGCAGAAGCAAGTTTGCAATGCCCAAGCCATGCTCCCATCACCGTCCATGGCTGGCAGTATGCGTCCAAGTCAAAATGTGCGCTCGACTTTCTGAAGAAAAGTCTACGTTCACAGACCATCTCCGTAGACATAGCCCTCCGACGGATGGCACGACACCGTCGGCGGGCTATAACTTGCTTGATACCTCTTGCTACATGCTATAGCTTGCACTAGACGCCATTGCCAAGGTCACCATAGAGCTGGACAACCGCTTCACTCGTCAACGATCGTCCGTCAGGCTGTCTCAGACAGCCCCAGCCACCGGGACACTGCTGGTGTCCCGATCTAGAGCTTGATACCTCTTTCGTTTAGCGCGGTGAATGGGATATGCACAACACCCAAACACGCACGCACTTGCCAGCGGACAGCAAGTAAGCACTCGCACTCTCTCAACCTAAGAGAGAGCGGAGCGCAAACTTGTGTCACGAATATAACTCACGAATGAAGGCGAAATTTGAAAAATTGTCACGAGCTAAACATCACCGTTAGGCTCTAATGATTATGTGTACCAAGTTTCATCGAGCTACGTTCAGTATTGTGCGAGATATTCTACGCTCACTGAATTTGGAGTCCGGCCGCGAGACTGGCCGTAAGACAGGCCGCGTTTTTGTCCGAGACGTGCATTTTAGGTGATCCAACGGAAGCATTTATTTCTAATGTGTTCTCTCTAGAGAAGCCTGAACGTGACTGGGAGTGTGCAAGGTGGTCGGAAGTTTGCACGTCATAGGCAGAAATCAGAATTTGATTATTTTTTGTTTAACGTGAATTTCAAATTCATTCACAAATGAAGAAACAAAGGCCGAGTTTCTGTAACCAATTTAAAAGAAGGTGATCAATTTCACTAACGCGCTGAACGAGTTTACGTTTTACGCAATTTTGCTGGTAATGCATTGTTGGAACCATCGCAGCTTCAGTTACTCTCAATTTAGGTTTCATAAACAGTCAATCACAGGCGCTAGATTTATTCACGTCTTTCATGTTGCGCGGTGGCAAATCCGACATCGGATTTACCGTTGCTTCGGGATCAATAGCGCATTGATGCATTGGCATCTCCGAGTTTTAGCCAAAAATTAATTATAATGCATTATTATTTCACTTCAAATATAATAATTACAACAGTGAGGAGCTAGGTGCTGCTGTCCAGTATTAAAGAGATTTTCACCATTAGGCCCAAAAAAGTAGAATGACTGCATGAAAAAAAAATAAAAGATTTCCAGTTTGCACTGGAACTGTGACCATGGTAACGCGGCAGCTAGCGCCTAGCGGTTGCGTTGATAAAATGCCTATAATAAAACATAGAGATACATTTATCGTGTCGTCAATGTTATATAAAACGCTTACTATTCATGAAATTCAAATTACACACCAACATTCAAAATTAACGACTAATAAATTATTTATATCATAGTTTGTGTTCTGATCTTGTTCGTTTTTTATGAGGAATTTTCGTAGCTCTTGTAGAAAGACATTTGATGGCTAACTAAAAATGATAATCGTTTATGATATTCTTGTCTCGTTGCTAATTTCCGGTCAATCTTGGAGTCAAATATTCCAGGCTTTTAGTAATACAGTCATTACAGTGATTCTCTGTAGTTAAATTAGTTTAAAACTTTGCTTTGCAATATCCTCGCAGCATGGAAGACAATAATAACAATATATATCCTTCATAATATGATTTTGCACTCATTATTATTGGTGCTACCAAAATCTCATCGCAACATTGGCTGGATGTTACTGGCTGCTGTTGGTTGAAAAAGAAAGCAGTCCCGGATTTGAATCACGATTTAATACACGAATAATTTTAACTAGAAAATTTATATAGAGAATTCCAACAGTTTTACAAACGAAATTAGAGCACAAATATATTCTCTGTGTAACCGAGTAGTGTCGACGCAAAACGTGCAGCATGATTTTCCTTGCTCCCAGCCAGCAACTCACACCTTCCAGAAATCGACTCCCGGCTTCGAAATTTTTGGGGTCACTTTCCCGGAGGGCGCAATTGCTTGGCCGCAGCAAGGATCTCACGCCACTCCGAAATCGACACGGTCACATACCAAGATTTCGAGATCACTTTCCCAGACGGCACAATTGCTTGGCCGCAGCAAGCATTTCACGCCACTGAGAAAAGTGGTCGACTTAGACTATCTGACGAAAGTCTACGTTTTGCACATATCAGCTCCGAGACCAACTCGTTCAGAGGAGGTCGAATGCCTGGCCAGAGCCAAGGTTTAACCATCAACAAGTGTTGTGGGCATGCAGAAGCAAGTTTGCCGTGCCCAAGCCATGCTCCCATCATCGTCCGTGGCTGGCAGTATGCCTTCGAATCAAAACGTGCGCTCGACTTTTCTGAGAAAAGTCTACGTTCACAGACCCTCTCCGTAGACTTTCTGACAGCAGGCTATCTGACGAAAGTCTACGTTTTGAACATATCAGCTCCGAGACCAACTCGTTCAGAGGAGGTCGAATGCCTGGCCAGTGCAAAGGTTTAACCATCCACAAGTGTTGAGGGCATGCAGAAGGAAGTTTGCCGTGCCCAAGCCATGCTCCCATCATCGTCCATGGCTGGCAGTATGCCTTCGAAGCAAAACGTGCGCTCGACTTTTCTGAGAAAAGTCTACGTTCACAGACCCTCTCCGTAGATTTTCTGACGAAAAGTCTACGTTTTGAACATATCAGCTCCGAGACCAACTCGTTCAGAGGAGGTCTAATGCCTGGCCAGAGCCAAGGTTTAACCATCCACAAGTGTTGTGGGCATGCAGAAGCAAGTTTGCCGTGCCCAAGCCATGATCCCATCATCGTCCATGGCTGGCAGTATGCCTTCGAAGCAAAACGTGCGCTCGACTTTTCTGAGAAAGGTCTACGTTCACAGACCCTCTCCGTAGATTTTCTGATGAAAAGTCTACGTTTTGAACATATCAGCTCCGAGACCAACTCGTTCAGAGGAGGTCTAATGCCTGGCCTGAGCCAAGGTTTAACCATCCACAAGTGTTGTGGGCATGCAGAAGCAAGTTTGCCGTGCCCAAGCCATGCTCCCATCATCGTCCATGGCTGGCAGTATGCGTCCAAGTCAAAATGTGCGCTCGACATAATTCAGTGCGTAAAGGGTTAAGGTCGGGGCCCTGATCATTGACATGAAACCATTCCCTGTTTTTAATTAGTAAAATCAATTATTTTTTTGTTGGAATGGTGAGTGAGGGAGGCCTTTTAAAAAAAATTAATAAGGTAGAGGGGATGAAAAGTTTAATAAACTTTGCACTAATCATAATTTCACAGCCTAATTTAATTAAATCAAAGTGAGGCGTAAAATTATTCGAAGAAGACGAGTTTTTTCGATCCCCACGTGCGATGCGAGTTCTGAATGCAATTAATTGCATACTTATGTATTGTTCATGCAACAATAGGATAATTATTATTCGACAAAGCAACGAGCGTTTCCCTAAAAAATTTTTAATTTTAAATCAAATTTCCGAACAAATTACCGTCACTAACAAACAATTTATTATCCAAACAATTACTATTACATCGACTGGGCGGTGGGATGCTTACGTAAGTTATCAAATCGGATAGCAGGTCTGGACCGGTAATAAATTTTTCATTTTATTAATATATTTTATGGAAATAAATCTTTAATGACACAGGAATGTACGTAGACTTTTTACTGTCTAGAATTATTTAAGGTTACAAAATCTAAGATTAAATGTAGTTCTATGCTCAAAAGCATCGATTTCTAAAGACCTGAAACGAATGCCTCAGCACCTTTATTTGAGAAAGCAATTAAATTTAACTTTTAAGTTCGACTTAAGGAAGCGAATCGCGAAACTTCATTTTGTTGTCGAACTAGCATAATAAAATTCTGTTATATTGTCGCAGCACACACCAGCGAATTATATAGTGGAGAAATCGCCGCGGCCTCTACGCAAGGCAGCCGCCACACCGTTCACACAGACAATATCGTTGATGAAAATGTAGAGGTGACAACCTGAATTAAAAGGAAGATTATAGATGACTACGCAGCGGTACTGAGAGCGGCTTTGGCTGTGAATATCTGCTACGGGCACGGCTCGAGTACACAGACAGTATCGTTGATGAAAATGTAGAGGTGACAACCTGAACTAAAAGGAAGATTATAGAAGATTACGCAGCGATACTGAGAAGCGGCTTTGGCTGCGAATATCTGCTACGGGCGCGGCTCGCACATGTTCCAGGGACACAGTCAACTTGCTTGCGTAGCGTGCGCTTCACAAGGTGTTCTTTGCTTATGCCTCAGTAAGCTTGATCCATGGAGTCGTGTCATAAATTGAACGTGCAACATGCATGCTCAAAAGGATTCGACTTGTTTTTAAATTATCAAAATATATTTTACGTTCGCCCTGAAAATATGAGTGACGAAGCGATGACCTCCTTTCAAATTAACGCAAACTCGTTATCGGTGGTGTGTGCACCAGACAGCTACCCCTATATGATTATTGCAGCGGGGTCCTAAAAATACTCATCTGAACGTGATTTGCACTCGTAGTTGAGGGACACGTGTTTCTCAGTCCACTGTTGTGGCTTTAAAAACATAAGTGAGTATCACACGAAATATTCAATTTTGAGTGCCAGCTAATTACAGACTGATTGAGAAATTCATCCGAGGTGCTAGTTTGAACTTCAAGAGGCTATTAAGAATTATTTGATGTCCTATTATGTAAATTCTATTACCGTATTAGTAACATTTATTTACTTGAAAAAAAAACTAATGATACTAAAAAGCTTATTTCCGGAAATTACCAATGAGCTCAGCTATGCATAAAAATAGAATTTAATTTCGAAATGAATGTTAAAAGTTCTTATGTTTCGATTCCCTTAATCGTCATTGGAAACGATTTCAGAACCATTTCAGTATCACTTCTTAGAGAGATACTTTCCCAGGTGCACTGAATTTGACGAGTTACCGCAACAAATGAACTTCGGTTGAGATGTATAAATGTGAATTAAATATAGATAATCTTGCCGATGACCGAGAGCTCAAAATGAATTTTGGAAAATGAATGAATCTCTCGAGTGTAGATCTATTGAAAGACTGACAGTATTTTAATAAAAATTGTCATGTTCATAAAATTATTCGGCTAAATTTCTAACATTATTATGAATGATTTGACAGGTATTGATGTTTTTATCGGAATATATTTAATAACATTTTTACACCGTCGGCGATTAATGCTAACGCATTGAAATGGTCGCTATGTAAAATTCAGTTCGCAAATTTTGAAAGAAGCAACCGAATGGGCTTCGTTCTTTTATGATAGAAGTTCATACAATAACTTGGTTTTCTGGTTCTGGTCAGAACGTAAAATAATGTACTAGGATATTTTGCGGAGGTAATCGCAATCTATTTAGTTCAATTTTGCTGTTAATTATATCAGCGTAATATGGGATCGTCCGTTATGGTGCAGTCTTTTTCAAATAAATCTGTTTCATGTATAATATGTGTATACCCTGCGCATGTCAAACATATTACCAGCTGTCAGCAGGTAACGGAGGGCTGTGATTTTTATAAAATAAAATGAAACAGCACTATTACCACCATTGCCAAGATGGTTCTGATTCGCTGTCCGTATTCTGCCAACCGTCACTGAGAGCGCCTTACGGGTACCGCGCCAGTGCCGCTCACTGCCGCTACGCAGCACGGCTATGGCGTCGGTCCGGCGCTAAAGCGGGGCTCTAATAGGCTCTAATACCGGCGCCAACGTGAGGCTCTAATACCGGCGCCAACGTGAGGCTCTAATACCGGCGCCAACGTGAGGCTCTAATACCGGCGCCAATGTGAGGCTCTAATACCGGCGCCAAAGTGGTGTGTAAAGTTCACTTCACATTCACTGCAAGTATTTACTAGTCCGTTCAACTGCATATTTTATTACTACCTGATAACGTGGATGGTTTGGATACCATTTTACGGAACCAAGAATCCATAATACGTGTCCAAGAAACACTTTATAACACTTCGCCTTATTTGAGTTGGCATTATTTACCGTAATGACAATAATTCGTTGAAATATCAACATAATCTGAAGGAACAGAGCAACGTGCCATTAGAAGGAAAAAAATTTTTACCACTCCCCTGTTGAATGAGGCCGGCTTACACGGCCTGTGAAATGTCATTAGCAGTGACTGGCCTCTTAATTATTGTCCTTATTTTTAACTGACCTCATATACTGTATTTGTTCTCATTTTACTATATTTATTTGTACTTATGTATCGCTATTTTCCATTATGAATGCAAATAGTAACTTTAGCAGGAAATTTAAATTTTTCTCCTCTGTTTCACGATCTTTAGTTTAGTGTGCACTCTTTGTGGCATCATTGCATTGTTTAGTGTGCACTCTTCTTTACTTCAGTGGCATCATTGCATCAATATATGTATAATATGTGTTTCGAGAGTTTGCATACATTTAGTTCTACTAGCGAAATTCTTCATGAATGCTGCAAAAAAGGCTTACTTTGCAGCAAGGAATATAATTCAGTTCTGTCTTGAAATAGTTCAGTCATCGCAACAATCTCAGGTCATTCTATCAGATTTTATCATTCTTTAAGCGTAAATTGCCCGGTGTGTAAATAAAACCAACATTATTTTTAATGAATTCAATTATAAACTCCACTTCCTGGGAGCCTTCATACAGAATAGAATGGCCACTCCTAAATACGTCCGTGACAATCTGAAATAAACCGAGTGAGGAAAAAATTCTGCCTTCGCCGACAGAGGAAGAAAATTTGATGGTTCTCGTTTTTGTGAATTTCGCCACAGAGAAATGGAGTAAAATCCAGAAAATTCCTAGTAACTTATAAGAAAGTTCTGTACCAACGTTCAGTGTTAATAAACTTCACTGAACGAATAGTAGTAGCGTAATCACGTACAAAAACAACGCTTGGATTTTCAGCGCTGAAGTTGAAGGTCTCTTTCTTCGACAGACAAATTGCGTATTATAGTGGTATGAAAAAATGATCTGGAATTTGATGAACGAATTAAGTGCGTTTTTAACGAAATAAGATATTACAATAATTCTCTCATGCCGGTGAAGCCCGAGAAACATGCCTGTCATTTGAGAATTTTATTCTTTCACGATTATTTGATAGCATTCTGGGTAATAGAATATCCAAATGCTCGAAAGTAATAAACTGAGGGAAATTATAACGTGGTTAGGAGGCGGCCAAACATTTACGAAATTTGAAAATGAGAGAACAAGAAAATGTATAGAATTACAGAAGCTTCATGCTGTAAATGCTGAGTTATAAGGCCCAATCGCTCATAAAATCATACATGATGTAGATTATCATAGTCATTTCAAATGCGGTATAAGTGCATGGATTTCAAATCCCAAATTTTTTCAACAATAGACCTAATCAAATGGAAAGGAAGCCAATTATTTGAATAAAGCTGACTTTCCATTAAACAACAGCAAAATAATGCAAGCAATTTAACTTAATGGAGTGTAATTTATACTTTTCCCCCTTTGGAACCAAGTCCAGATTAAATTATTCAAGATGAACACAAGATAATATATTTTTAGTCGTGTGGTTTCATTTTTATTATCAATAATTGTTCTCTCAAGTATTTATGGACAAATAGAAAATAAAATTGGATGATAAGCAGTATGCGCTGCCTAAGTATACAAAAATGCAGCCGTTCATTAAAAACTGAAATCTCCTATTATATGAAATACAGAACCAACTACGAAATACTTTCTTCATAGTCCAAATACAAAGGATGATGCAGTATACACGATACATCTTAAATTTATGTTCCCTCGGCACAAGGTGATAAATAAATTGGGAATATATAAAATATTCAGTCTCTCACTCGGGTGTTATTTCGACTCAATCCTATTGCAGTAGAAACAACAATACCCAATCTGCAATAGGGTCCCATTAGTTCTATTTTCGTGCAACCCTTGCAGGTACTGAGATGAACCCTGTGTCATTATACTTTATTCATAGGTTACAATACTCACTGCAAGAGTGGACGCAGGATATATGACCCCGCAAATCAAACGTTTCTCATGAAAAACTCGCATATGGTCCGCTATTAATTTTTGAACACTATATATAACGGAAGTTGCATGCTTGT